GACGCGCGCTGGCCACGAGGCCGTAGCGCCCCGGCGGAGATGGAGCAAACCTGCAAAACGCCCCTTAGGTGTGGGGCTGGGAGAAATCCCCCTCTGTATCCCTCGCGCTGAAGCCTCCAGCAGACCCTGCCCAAATTACTACATTGATTTAAACCCAGCCCGAACACTGATTTCCAGTATTCCTGCTTGCAACGGGAGGGTGGGAGAAATCCCCCTCTGTATCCCTCGCGCTGAAGCCTCCAGCAGACCCTGCCCAAATTACTACATTGATTTAAACCCAGCCCGAACACTGATTTCCAGTATTCCTGCTTGCAACGGGACGGGGAAATGGCTTCAGTCTTGCTCCGTTTTTTTCTAACCGCAACGCGGGAAGAGATGCCAAGCAAACGCTTAAAGAATAACAACGGCAATGCCAAACATTATCTTAGGGCTATAACTGGAATTAACGGCCGCTGGCACTGCAGAAGACAGCTTAGACACGAGCCAAGGCTGTAGGACCACTTGGATTTCTGCTTTCCAAACCCCAGGCCTCGCTCGGCCCCACACGGCACTAAGGGAGCGCGGCGGCGTTCGGCTCGGGGGCCCGCCTGGAGCCGCGGGGTGATGCTGCGTCCAAATGGGCTGAATCATCCCCCGGGAACCGGCTGCACGGGTGCCCTGCCCCAGCACACCCGCGGAGCTCGTTGGCACTTTACCCTTAACGAAGCAGCAGCCGGCTCAGGTGTAACCGCTCCAGCTGTGCATTTGCAGGCCAGGGTCAGGGCTCAGCTGTTTCCGGGCTGCAGCTGAGCAAAGCCGGTACCTGTTACGCTAGACTGAACCCCCCGCAGCCCCGGCCGGGCTGGGGTGTGCAGCTTGCAAAAATCACTTCCCAGCTGGCTTTTGGCACCCCCCTGCCTTTCGCAGACCCTCGGGTCTGCTCATCCCTACGCTGGGGGGAAGGTCGTGTTTCAGCGTTGCTGTCCCTGGGGGTGCTGTCGGGGCAGCTCCTCGCCCGGGAAAAACCCTGCGCTAACTGCCCCCCTCCTAAGGGCTTCTGCTGCCACCTTTCCCCCTCCACGCTAGCTTTGTCAAAACCGACCTGTTTCACAGAAAGCCATGGGGTGCTGATGGCAATTAATAGGGGTAGTGTCTCAGGCCAAGGGATTTCTGGTGGAGGAGACCCTTTCCCCAGCCAAGCAACCCACTAGGGAGGGACCTGCCTGACTTCTGGGAGAGCCCAGAGCAAATCCTCCCCCGTCCCTTGAGGATGGGGGCCTCTCTTGGGCACCTGGAAAGCAAATCCAGGTGCCAAGCTCCCTTTCCCAATGGAGGACCAGAGCTGCACAAGCAGGGGCAAGGAGGGTATCTGTCTCCTGATTTATCTTCAACTTCCTCAGTCCCTGCTCCTGGCAAACCCAAGGTGACAGCAGAGGGGAGCAGCTGGTAGCAGCCAAGAGGGCTGGAAGGACTGACCTAAGAGGAGAGATTAAACAGGCTAAATCTGTAGGGCTTGACTCAGCAGCAGCTAAAAGACTGCCACGATAATGCTCTGCAAGTATTTCAAGGGACGTCTGCATACATGCAGGAGGAACAGCAGCCGCAGGGGGTTGCAGCCAACAATGCAGCAGAGCTCCCTGCTGCAAGACCCTGCACTGGTGGTAATGGGGTCTGCAAGCCACCGGGGCCACGACGGCAAAACCACAAACAGGGACTGCTCAGTCACTGCAGCAGAGCCCATCCTGCACCCCAGGCTGCAAGTTGGGCCACCTCATACCCAGCATCTCCATCCTGCACCTAGCCAAGCAAGGAGGCATCTGCCAGGAGGCAGGCCCAGGGCAGCAGGGGTTAAACACAGGTCATGGGGGGGGTGGGGGGGGGGGTTCTCCCTTCCGCGTTTGCACAGCTCCCATGCCCCCCTTTTTTTTTTTTTTTTGCATTGCATGCTGCAAAGCAGTCACCCAAGGCTGTTACAGCCTCTTACCCCTGCTGCCCAAGTGCAAGTTAGTCTGGTTTGTGCTCTAGCTGCTGCACCTGCTCCCAATAACCCCGGGGCAGCAGGCAGAGATCCCAGCCCAGGGTTTCACCCCCCACAGATGCCCCAGCTCACAGCCAATACTGCACCCCCAAAGGGACCCCCAGCCTCCACAGCCCAGCAGGGAGCCAGAGCTGGGCTCTCTCCCTCCTCCCAGCGAGCAGTGCAACACGCAGCACACAAGGTTACTTCCATTAACCCAGTGACACAGATTCCCAGACACAAGACAAGTGTTTATTCAGAGCTACATTTATAGACAAATAGATAATCCCCCCCTCCCATTAGACTTAACAGCATCCTTATAAATAAACATTTAGTGCTGGGAGCTTGCCAGCTTCACTGACAGCAAAGTGCATCTCAGTGCAAGGCAGGAGGTTGACCCCATCCCTTTTCTGCCTCAGACTGTCTTGCACCAGTTTCCAGAGTCCAAATCCAGCAGGGCAGGAGATGAACCCAAAGTGCTGAGATCTGACAGTGTTGAGTCACTTGTGAGCAGCTACCCAACACAGGGTGAGCCAGCCACGACCCGAGCAGCCTCAGGCCGAGAGCCAGCAGAAGCTGCTCGTTTCCCAGCCAAGCTGAGGGTCCTCCTCTCCCCCCAGCTCCAAAGGAGGAAGGGAAAAAAGAGTCCAGGACAAAGCTACAATTTCTTCTTTCAGTGTCATCCCTGCTGGAGAGCAGGCCTCCCCTTTCCTAGACCAGTCCAACAGGGCCAGAGCAGACAGCCAGCCTAGTGTCAGTATTTAACAAGGCAGGAACAGAAGGGCAAATAGCACCATTTGACAAGCCAATAACAGGGCAAGAAAGGAGTTTATCAGGGTCAGCAGGGAGTTCAAGGGATCTCAAAGCTTCCCAGGCAGTGGTGGCTCCATGCTTAGCAAACCTGCTGCATGGAGCTCTGCCCCAGAGCTGCTCTCATGGCAGCTCCAGGGTCCCTACAGGTTAGGGACAGCACAAGGGGGGGGGGG